ACTAGACGACAAGACATTCCATCTAGATACACATGTCGACACAACAATAAATTAATATTGCCTAATTCTAGGCTAAAACTATCATCATCAAGCACATTTAATTCATCAATTAAAATTTATAACAAATTGCCCAATACAATAATGAATGAAAATAATTACTTGACATTTAAAAATAAATTAAAGGAATTTCTAATTAACAAATGTTATTATAATGTAAATGAATATTTTAATGATAAGATCAGTAATTATTAATGTACATGTACAAATAATTTATTTAATTATTTATTATATTTTATATTTAATTTTGTGAAATTATTAATATTATTATTTATAATTAAATCAGATCCAATCCAATTATAACAATCAAAAATAAACATATGAAACAATCTGTAACATAAAATTTTAATTTTACTATTAGTGTTGTTCTTCTCTTCTAATAACCAATTGCGTGCCCGACGGGGTCATAATGCTCATCTTTATATATATAATTCTTCTGTGAGTGTGTATGTCACTGAACTTCTCTTAAACGACTGGACCGATTTTGATGAAATTTTTTGTGTGTGTTCAAGGGGATCTGAGAATGGTTTAGATTCACAATTTTGTCCGCTGGACAATGTTTTTTTAATTAAATTTTTTTATGGCGGTACGAAGTTTGCTGGGTCAGCTAGTATTTATATAAGTACCTACCACCCACTGTACACATTATGGTTGCAATAAATGATTTGACTTTGAGTTGAGTTGAAAACGGAACGAGTAGGCTTGTAGGTATAGTAAAATTTGGGGCAATAAAATCTGTTCGCACCGTGTGCTCGACTGTCATTTATTTCACGATTCAGGGACTTTTATCCTTCGCGGACAAAAATCCTTCTTATGTCGAATCTATCCGACCGGCGAGTTGACAAATTTTAATTTCGCTAATCATTTGTCTGTTTCACCCGACGGCCCCTGTGAAGACATCAGGAATTCTTTAGAACTTATGTCTCCTTTAGGTTGGAGGAAACACAACGCATACGCAACGCAAAAATTTAAATTCGTCAACGCGCCGCGCCGGTCGGCCAGATTCGTCATGGCGAGTTGACTAATAAGTCGTCTGTGCAAGAAATTAATGATAATTTTTGATTTTGAAATGTGATTTATTATAATTTTGTATCTTGAAATATTTGTTTTTGTGTAATAAGAGAGTTTTGAAACGATGACGTCACGTTGCCACTGGCGCCGGCGCCGGAGGAGCCGATGCGGTAAATACATTAAGTTTTTAATATTTATAAACAGTATGTTACTTGAGGATTCACCTGTCATGTATCCATTCAGATTCACCCAAGCATTGTTTTAATTAATGACAACATTTATTGATTTTTTTTTAAATTATCACTAGCGGCCGCCCGCGACTTCGTACGCGTGGAGTTAGTTATTTGCACATACTTTTTGACCCCTGTTCACTGCTCGTTCCCCGTAGGTGATAGCGTGATAATATCGAGCCATTACTGCCGACTTAGCGTAACCGACAAAAACCAAATTTTACAGGAGAAGGTTTTTTTTTAATATTTTTGCAAATAATTGCATTACAACATTGCAATTTGATATATAATTATGAATTTTGAAGCTTTAGGTGTAACAGTTAACAATTTTGAAAAAACAATAGATTATAAGGCTGTTTTGGCGTTTACAATATTTTTGCTGTCTCAAAAGAACGTCTTCTTATGATTCCAGGCGATTGAGATAACACATGCGATAAAAAGTAACCTGGTTAGTTTTAACGTAAGCGACAATAATTAATTATGAATAGTGATAATTTTTTATAAATAAGTGGGTACTTAATAAATAAATATGTAAAAAAAACAACTTAAAATATATAATTTATTGCTCATATTCCTACCTATAACACTGAGATCAATGAATGAAACTTAACTTAGAATTATAAAACATAAATAATAATAATAAGGAATCCTGAAACGAATGAATTACTCATTTTAAATAAAATATAAATCATCATAATCATAATTAGCCGGAAGACGTCCACTGCCTGACATAGGCCTCCCTCAAGGATTTCTATAACAATCGGTCCTCTGCCGTTCACATGCAGCGGCTTCCCGCTTAAAATTTTGCGTTTAATTCTCATTATCACTATCAGACTCATCAGTTTCAGGCAACACGTCAGGAATTGCTCCATCGTTATTCATTTTTATGTACTCTTCATGGTACCTGCTTGGAATAATATTTTTTTTACATAAATCCAAAAGGTCTTTGTACTTGGCAGCTGAAATTTTTAGGTCCGAATGGTATAATTGTGCTGGTCCATTAGCTATAGATGCCGTATTGCCTCTTGATCTAATGATCAGGTCCATATTCAAATCTTGTTTATGGCTATCTTCAAAAAACCCGTACTGAAGTGTAATTACTGGATTGTTCTTATTAAAATACACTATTCTTAATGATTTAAATGCTATTTTAAATTTCGCTGGCAATAAAGCTCGTGAGAAAGACTTCCAGTCCATGAAATCCGTGTAGTTCAAAACATGTACAAAATAACCTATTGGATCTCATCTAGAATTGGTGATCATAGTTGGCCACTCGGAAGGAGCCCACACTGTTTTATTACGGATAAAACTTTCAATTGTACTGTGAATAGAGTCCACAGGCATCATAGGAGATAAGTTATTTTTATTTTAGTAATCGTAGTTGTTGTCTTCAAAAAATGAAATAACATCGAAATCATTGCACGATTTCTGTTTTGCCCTGCACAGCTATCTGCATACAGATTTATGACACTATGGGTTCTTTTACTGTCTATCAGTGTTAAATATTTAAATAGAACAGTAACAATCTCGTTACAACCTCTTTTTCCTTGGCATTCACCCCACAAGTAACAATACCTGGCCCTGGTACCGCTTTCGTAGATACTTTCATTATAAAAGGCGTATTTTCGTGAGTAGAATAGGGTTACGCTTTTACCATGTGGAGTATTTAGAACTTTTTCTAAGTCAAAGCTGACACAAAGAGAGGTAGAATTAGAAGCTTTGCTATTTTTTTGATCTTCTAAATACAGATTTTTGCATTTTTCCTTATCCTGAATGTGATTTTTATAATCTGTGGTTTGTTCAAAAACAGTTTTACTTACTGGCGGTAAATTTTTGTACTTCTCACAAAAGATACACTTATCTTTTTTTGGCAAATGGAACCCTATATTAAAATCAGTTTTAAAAATACTGCGAAAAACTCTTTTTGATAATATTGATAAATCTAGGTTCCTTTCTTTTAAGTGGATGGCGTACAATTTGTACACGTTTGTTATATTCTGCAATTCTTGAGATAAGTATAATTTGGTACTTTTGTTGCGACAATAGTGAGATAGCACTGCAGGCAACATCTCAATAAATGATTTTAAATAACCTACTTTTTCTGCATCAGATTTGTTGTGAGGCAGAAGAGTCCTTTTGTCTTTTTGGGTAGTATTCAGTATTTTGTTTGCATTTTCAATTGTATACCTTAAAGTCATCTGGGATATATCTAATGTTTTAAGCAAAAATTGTTGACAAATTTTAATATTTTGACCTTTAAAGTTTATAAAGTAATCATATGATATTTGGCGAATATTACTAGTCGCTCGTTTCCTATCAATTGGCTTCGCCTTAGCACATGACAGTAGAAAGTGCTTTTGTCTCTTAGCACATCCCATCCCCCAATAGTTTTCAAAAATAATCCACCGATCATCCTCTCGAAATTTATCAGCACATGAATTGCCCCATCTTTTGTTGTTTGATCTCATCATCGTTGTCAAACAAGGATTTGGCCTAACAGATTTGCCAACAGCAGATTGACGATTTTTTTTCTTCAGAAGCCTTTTAGGCAAAGGTCTTTTTTTCTGTACCCTCTTTTCCCAACACTAGACTCTTCTTCAATTTGTTGAGACGTCTCTTCTTCTGCATCACTGGACGACAACGACGGTTTCCATGAATCTTCCGAATCAATATAGGTATAGGTAAGTCGTAAAACGTCATGGGCTCATTATGTTCTAATTGATAAGACTGTGAACTGGATCTTGGTTGTGGTTTGGTTTTATCTCGATTATCTTATATCTATCTATCTCGACCAAGAGTAGAAAAACTTTGATTAGCCAAAGGTTTTCATGCGGTATTTTATTTTGTTTGTCTAAATCCATTAAAGTGTATGATTTCTCACTGTCAGAGTCAGTGTAATTAACAAGAAATTTACTTGTAGCCAATTTGGTATCATTTTGGTCTGATATTAAAAAGGATTCCGCATCAAAATTTTGTTTACCAAAGTTAAGCACGGAAGCCACATGCCATATCTCACGCAGGTAAGGCTACGCACACTCGCTAGTCAAAAATTAGTAGCCTTTAGTTATGTATTTACATTTATTTACTAACAAAACAGAATACTTTAATTAATTTCCTACATAACTTCGCCGGCGTTGACATTTTGGAGAACAATTGCACTACTTTACTAAGCAGTATAAGTAAACCACTATTACACCACCTCAAACTTAATAAAACCTAGTTTTATCACGCTATTACCAGGTAAATATAATTTAACACAAAATATAGTGCAGGGAGATAGTTATTCCATCACAATTTTCACTGGAATGAACACGTGGCAACACGTTTTTTGCCACTTTGTTTATTGTAAACGACAAAATTTTGATGTACTGTGTCGGTTGCGATAACAAGTGGGGTCGCTTACGCTGGAACTCTTAGATAATTATGCCACTTACGTTAAATATGGATTATGTCGGTTAATATAAAATTTAGCAAACCGTTGTGCTAACGATAATTATAGCATTAGCTATAACTTTCCAATTGATTGTTTTTTTTGATTGGCGGTTAATGTCGACGAACCGAGTCCGTTATAGTTTAAATTGTCGTTTGTAATAAAAAACCCTGTTTGGGTAAAAATGTCGCTTACGATAAGTCGGCGGTAATGGCTCGATATGTAGCCTATATGTTAACCCGACTTCTTAATAATATTCGTGCCAAATTTAAAATGAATCCATGCAGTACTTTTTGAGTTTATCCCGGACATAAACAGACAAAAATACTAAAAACTATATTTTTGGTTTCGGTATCGATTGTAGATCACACCACAAATATTCTTTTAAAAGAATATTCGATGTACAGTTTTGACTTTCCTACCATTTTAATATATGTATATATTTTTTTCTAGACTCATTCTAGTACTGCCAAATTTCGCACACCCAACACGGTCGGTCAGCGTGTGACATAACATTATGAAAGCGCTTCATAATAAAAGTATCTAATTAACTTCGTTATGTAACTATGGTGTTTGATTTATCCATTGGAATCGTTTGGCTCGCTTGAATGAGCCACACAATACGGTTAGACGATTCAAAATGTGCAGTCTCGCTTCGGTATCCTGAACTGAATGACGTCGCCGTGCCCATAGCAACAGAATCGTGCGCATATCAAGACATAAGTAGTGAATTTATTCCTTAGAACAGATATGCTAATAACATTCGTCACTTTGTTACTTGTCATCGTCGCAGGATATGTTATAAGAAGCGTCACGAAACCAAGGAAATTTCCACCAGGTATTTATTAATTTGTATTATGTATTTTTTTAAAGAGCTCGCTCAGTATTAAGTTTAAAGACTAAGAAGTGCTTTCAAATTTTTTAAACTTTTAATATGTATCGTACAAAGTTCACGTGGAGATTCACTTTATTTATAATTGCACACTGAAGTGATTATAACCTCTACTGTCTCTACTATATGTCAGAATTATGATTAAAAGCACGTGTAAGCATTTGTATTGCACAACATGTGTGATTGAATACTCGCCTAATTGGTGCTTTTATTTTGCTCTTATGTTGAGCTACACCATTTTTTCCCGCGCGAATGATTTTATTTTAAATACCGTTGCTTTGAGAGTGCGTTTTCAGTTATTTTTTTTCACTGTTTATTCAACTAATTTAAGTTGTATTATTGAAACTTTAAATTTTCAATGTTCTACTTCTTATAAGTGGCCGCCGATGGATACCTTTTCTTTCCGTGAAATGCTTACACTGAGTCATGTTTGTTCCTAATCTTATCTCAGAACAGAACTTATATTACAATAGAAACTGAACGCGCATCTATTAGAATATTTCTGTTAATTAACTGAGCTTTTTGTTTTTTATGATGCTGGTAACGTTATGTTTATTATTTTTTCTTTATTCGATAGTTTTTTTAAAGAGTTATTAAATAGCGGAAAATTTCTAAGTCTCTTCATTGTGAAGCCCGTGCTTTTGGTTAAAACCTGCTTCAATAATGCTGTTAAGTGTATTTTTAGGTGGAGTTTTAATTTAGCTGCGGTTTGTTATGTGACAGTTATTTGTTAAATTCTTTAACTGTGTTAGTAACTTTGACTTGAGTTTATGTTTCTACAAATATATAAGTAGGAATTTATCTATGTTTCATTTAAATGTTTTTCCTTTTGTTACTCTAGTATCTCACAACCCAAGCTTTACAGTTCATACTTTTAGGGATATGCTAATTGATGTAAAAACATTTAAATATTTATTATAAGTACAAACTAAAATTATATCATGTTAAGTAAAAAAAAAGAGTACGCTAACAAAACAAACTACGTGGAATTAAGGAATTATTATAATTACTAATTAGCTAAAATAGTTTTTTTAACGCAATAATATCTTTCTTTTTATATTTCTTCTGTCCATGTGTATCCTATGGGTACAAGAAGAGGAAGATCCATAAGAAGAGTTCAGTCCCTTGAACTCCTCCTTAACAATCGAATTCATTTAAATTTCATGTTATTTATTTTATTTGCAAAAAATGTGCCAAACAAGCATATGGGGAGGATACAGTGGATGTTTCTCTAAAATTGGAGCGCTGTCCGGGGAAGCAACCTCTACCTTACAGAAGACTACAGTTATCTAGTATTCACCAATCCACTATCTTTTGGTTTCTGCTAGTGAGTAGGGTTACAGAGTTTCACAGGGTAGGGGATTGAGTTCAGACCTGCTAGGTGAGAATGGCTGGAATGGCACACCTTTTACCGCATCATCTATCTCCACATATCAAGGGGGCGGGATATATCCTTTAAACGCTTGTGATACCGTAGGTACAGTATCAGTAGGCGGTAGCCTTGTGTCTGCCGAGGAGCACATTGACGGGTTTCACGCATGCATACGCAAAAAATAGCTTCTTTGCAGAGCAGAATACGAGCTAGCTCAAACACCATCCATAATACTATAGCCAACAAATTGGATAGCTGCTATATCTATATTCATTATATCAGAGTGATGACATAGGTAATCATTATATTCCGAGGGCAGTGATGAAGGAGTTCATATTTGATTTTTATTTTTTCAAATTGTACTTTCATAATTTATTACTTCTACGAAACATATACTAGTAACATAGAATAAGTCTACTAACAAATATGGCTCACAGTTGTCTGAAATAAATGACTATTTATTATTATTAAGAATTAGAAAACTGGAAGCGATCGGAATGAAAGGAAATTCTCTTGAATTGTTTAAAGATTACTTGTCAGATAGGCGGCTAAAGACAAAATTAGATTCCCTCACTAGTGATGATGCGGCAGTGACATATGGAGTACCTCAGGTAAGTGTCCTTGGACCTTCTTCTTCTTCTTCTTCTTCACGGTGGGTGTTTTCCGCAACTCGACACCAGGTGCCTATTTTGCGTGTGAGGATGGCCTTAGTCGTGCCATCCCAGCTCCCCCAAGAAGCTCAGCAGTCTCCTGATGTCGCCGCAGGCCTCGAGTAGCGTCTGCGGGCTGCCCAGGTGTGTCATTCGATGTCTGGTCACGCCTCTGCACTGCAGCAGGACGTGAGTGCTCGTCTCCTCTTCCTCCATGCAGGCTCTGCACAGAGGACTGTCCGAGACACCTATTTTAAACAGATGTTTATTAAAGTGTCCGTGTCCTGTGAGAATACTCACTATTTGTTTCAGAGCATGTCTTGGTAACTTGCAAAACTTACTTGCTAGCCGTGGGTCTACCTTAGGTATGGCCTCCCTGGCGTGCCAGCAGTCTGCAAGTCCAGCCCAGTATTCGTTGTGTAGTCGCAGGTACCGTTCCCTAATCCAACTTCGCAGCAGCCGGTATGGGATCGGTACGATTGGTTCTGGGCCATATACCACAGTGTCCGACCCTCTCCTGGCCAGACAATCTGCTGCATCATTGCCCCTTGACCCACTATGTCCTTTTATCCATTGGAGTATGACCTCGTTTTCTCTGCCTACCTCCATGAGTTTGCAGTGGCATTCAAAAACCAAGCCGGACGTCATTACATTGTTGTCTAGCGCCTGGAGTACCGAGGCACTGTCAGAGAGTATCCGGATGTTTCTACTCCTGATTGCACGTTTTGTGATGGCCTCCGCTGCTCTGACAATGCCTATACACTCCGCCTGAAAGACCGTATTGAGGATGCCCAGGCTGTCTGATATATGAATGTTGATATCCTCTGAGAACACACCTGCACCAGTACCTGAGTTGGTTTTGGAGCCGTCTGTGTATACCCTCAGCTCCTTGTGTAGTCCTCGGTCAGGATTGTCTTCATATAGTTGTATTCTATATTTTTTGTCAAATACATACTGTCTAGGGATGATGTCGTTTCTCGCCATGAAGAAGGGGTATTCTTCCTCAATGCCTTTTAGAATACGTGTATGTGGCGTATTGTAGTCTCTCCGCAAGCCTAGCATATGGAGCCTAGTAGACGCACATGCTGCTTCTTGCTGGATGTAGAAATGTAGTGGTCTTACGTTCAGAATTGTCTCAAGTGCTGCAGTAGGGGTGGTTTTCATGCAGCCCGTTATCGCCCGGCAGACCCTCCCTTGGAAGCACTTAAGTTTGTCTATGGTTGTTACCTGTGTTGTCTTCGTCCACCATACAAGCGCTGCATAGCCTATGATGGGTCTTATTATTGTCGTGTATAGCCATTTTGTTATAAAGGGGGATAAGCCCCACCTCTTACCCAGCATCCTCTTGCATTGGTACAAAATGATGCAGGCTTTCTTAATGGTTTTGTCAATATGTGTTCCCCAGTTGAGTTTGGCGTCTAGGTTTATGCCTAAATACTTTACCTCCTTTGAGAAACACAGCGTCTTGCCGAATAATACTGGCATGCGGTAGCTGCCCAGGTTCCTTTTATTGGTGAACAGAACTAGTTCTGTTTTACCCGGGTTTACCTTTAGTCCATAGTCCGAGCACCATATCTCTACCACTCTCAGTGCCCTTTGTGTCACATCGCATACCGTGTCCGCAAACTTACCCGGGATTAGGATCGCCAGGTCATCTGCATATCCTATTGTGAGGTAGTGCAGATTGTTCAGTCTTGTTATGAGGTCGTTCACAACTGTATTCCAAAGTAGTGGTGAGAGTACCCCCCCTTGAGGGCAACCTCTCGTAGCCAGTGCTCGCAGTTGATTCTCTCCTTGTGGTCTTATTAACCTGTTAGATAGCATGTTACTTATCCACTGGACGATGGTCCTTGGACCTACATTATTCCTTATTTATATAAATGATCTTTGTGCCATGAACATTAAGGATGATAAAATTTTGTCGTACACTGATGACACTGAAATTGTCTTCAGTGCAGAATCTTGGGATGCTGTAAAGGAAACAACTGAGAGTGGCTTGAAACAGATAAACAAGCGGTTACATAATAATTTCCTTACACTCAACACTGCTAAACCAAATTATATCTGTTTCAGTCTATATAATAACGGAAAACCAAACAATGATTTTTGTTTAAAGTTACATGGCTGTAATTTTATATTGGGTGGAGTTAATTGTAACTGCCCGGTTCTTCAAAAGGTTGAGAATGTTAAATATTTGGGTGTCTATGTAGATCAGCGATTATCTTGGTATCAGCATTTGAAACATGTTACTTTGAGACTCAGAAAGCTTACTTGGATTTTCAAGACACTCCGATAAGAAGATCTGATAAGATTTCGAAAAGAAGAAAGAAAGACATTGTTTTACGTGCTCCTAGAACCAACACTTTATTTGCAAGCAGTCAGTTCAATAGTCGATCTATATTCATATACAACGCCATTAATAAATATATTTGTACATATGATAAAATTTATTATCAATGCAAAGATCTACTGATAAAATGGTTAACACCTAAAACATATGATGAAATAGAGATATTATTAGGCAGAGCCTAGTATTCTTGCGCACACTAAGAAACATTAACATGCTATACACTGCCTGTATTTTCCGCTGGAATTGGAGCGCCCTTTTGTGGAATTAAACTCTTAAAAATTTTGTTCCCGCTCTTGATAATTATTGTTTTTTGGTCCGACGGTCTTGCCCGTGTGAATACAATCCCATACTTCGTGAAGCTTTGAAGTAAAATTTTATATATTTTTTCTGAGAATAACATAAATATTTTCCACTGATAAATCAATTATACAAGGGATACCTACCTACTTAAAATACGTTTCTACTTAAAATTATTTTCCTGTGGCAATACAGAGATTTCATTATGAAATAAGTATTTAGTCGAAAATTTAGACTTAGGAATAATATAATACTTAGGAATAGGATTTTATATCCT